TAATCCTTCACGAAAACGGAGCTTTTCGGAAACGCTCTTCAAACCGGGGGAATTTGAAAACGTCGACTTTGCGTTTTAGTGTGGACCGAAGACATTTTGAAATCGGAGATTTCCGAAAACGATGACGTCACGATAATTACGTGATTTCCCTGACCGAGTTTTCCTCAAACACAAATCCAAAATGACCAGTGATTTTTGCGTTTTTCAAATTTCTCCGGCGTTGTGTTGACGTGGCCATAGTATGCGCCGCTTGTCGCTTCAAACAGTCTGGTATTGCGTCATCAGAATTGATGATTGACATCACCATGGAAACTAAACAAAAGCAGCACGATTCGATAATGATTTCTAACTGGACTTTATTGTTCCTTGGTCTTATACGGTTTTAACTAAAGTAATTTAAGTCTAAAGTATTCAATATGCGTTTTCTAAAAACTATGTAAATGATTTCGTATTAAGTATAAAAATTTGGAAAATTTTCCAATAGGGTTTTTTAGTATTTATTTTTGTTTTGTAATTATAAAAGTAATGTAATTCTTAGAAGGGATTTCTAAAAAATTGATTAACTGATATTCCAAGATTGTGGCTTAAAATTTCGATCTTCTACAATAGGTTTTCATTGACAACGAGTCATATTCTTTATGATTCAAATAAAATAAAAATATTTCTTCTTCTAAAACTAATTTTTTTTCAGTGTTTGATTTTTTATTATGTAATCCTTAGTTACGATCTTTGTTGACCGTTTTTTAATTTTATTTTTAAAAAATATATATTTATCTTACCGTCTAGCTTGGTATCAAAGACCATTCTTTTGTAAGCTGACCGTTCAGTAATGATTCGATTTAGCGCCCGGGACGCTAATTTACTTTTTGTGACTCAAGGGAGGGCGGTTATTGCAGAGGGACACGCACTCATTAGTAACGGTGCACTAAAATATTTTTGAGCATATATATCTGAACGTGGTACAATACTTAAATGAAAAACGACAGATACTTTAACTCAAGGACTGTTAGAACACGAACTCTGATGGTCATGATGTTCAATATCGCGTTCAGAAGAAAAAGCAGATACTTTCGATATAGGGGCGCTTATTAAAATTTAATGGGAATTACTTGGTAGATAGGGGGTGCATGTTATTAAAAGGAGGGCGCTAAATCGAATCATTACGGTAAAAGTGTAGGCCAAACATTGTCCTAATTTGGTGATTAGAAGTAGTCGCCAAGGTCACCCCCCCCCCCNCCCCCGCCCCCCACCACCACCCCGTTCAGTGATGGGGCCTTTGTCAAAGAGAGTGTGCTAGAGCCTTTAATCCTGAGTGGCGAGCACAGGAAAACAGACGCAGCTGTGGGAAGCCGGCAAATGATGATGCAGTCACTCCAGTGAAAGCCCGCCAAAACAGGACGCAGTGACTCGGGTGAAAGTGGAGCAAAACCGTGTATCCCGTGGTAACTACATAATATTTCATTATCTTCGAAATCTACTGACAATATATCTACCTACCAGGTGCCGCGTAAAACGGTTATTAGTTTCATTGATTATCAATTCAAATACATAATTCAATTTTTTACTATGCAACAGTGGTACCATACATGTTTATATTGATTGTACCTCAATATACTAATCATATCACAGAAGTACCGTTCATAGACATTGTGCTCACGTTACCATTGGGAAACACCGCTGTCTGCCAATTATTAGGAGAGCTTACAGCAGTCGTGGTAATGACCAGTAATTCATTCAAAGCACTTTCCACCGTGTTTCCCAAACCGATTGGCGGAAAGAAGAGTCCTTCCACCGTCCCAGGGCGAATCAACCTCAGCGAGGGTAGTCTGAGCAGGAGTTTGCCAAAACGCGTTGGCTGGTTGGGGTACTGGGTTCGAATATAATCCTCCAATGCACATTGGGTTCGTTCCTGAAGGCCTTCCACATGAGAACAGTTGGCGAGTCCTTGAGAATCTTAAAAAGATCAAGAGGTAAAGGTAAAGTCTGCATACGAGCCAAGTGGCCCATCAGGTTGGCGCTTATCAACGGTTTCTGTAGAATGAACTCCCCCCTGGATGGGATGCTAGTCCATTGCAGGGTTACCCCCAGCATTAAATTCGCCGGTACTCATTTATACACTGGGTGGAGAGAGGCACTGTGGCAGTAAAGTGTCTTGCCCAAGAACACAACACAATGTCCCCGGCCAGGGCTCGAACCCGGGCCGCTCGATCCGGAGACGTGCGTGCTAGCTATGAGGCTTCTGGGCCTCCCACGGAAGAGATCAAGAAGGTTATAGAAAATTAAACAGCTAAATGAAGAAAATAATTTGTCACTTTGCTTAAATATAATTTCACTGATATCCACAACCGGTCAAAACCAAACATGTGAATAGTTTTGATTGCTACCTATCGTACCTTGGCGCGCGGTCAACGAAGTGACATTAAGGACGAGCCCAGGACACTCTCAATGGTGTCTCTCTCTAAAAGGGAGCATGGATAAAGCGCTCGCGCGTAGTGCTTATCAAACAAATAAGAAAAATAAGAAATCACTACCCACCTGGATTAAAAAGAATGATGGCCTTGAGACAACAGAACTCAGCAGAGTCTATATGCAGATTCTTGAGCTTTTCAACTTGTTCTTCGAATAATCTGAGATTTTCTGCTGAATCGAAAGCCATTGATCCATTGCTGTTAACTGCTAATAGATCAGTGCTTGACGGAGGCGTCAGTGCGCTTATGGTCAGTGGTTGCGCCATGTGAAACGGCGAACAGTGCTGGGCAGCGTTTAATATGAACAGTTCACTCCAACACGAGCGTAGTAAGATTGACTGGTCAGGTAGTGTAAACTCTGAGAAAAATGGAATATTCTTCGCCCATTCTGCGATGGAAACCAATAGTCTTGCAGCCAGTTCAGAAGCGCTCTCCAGTCCCGCAATGTTAGCGGGAATCCCGAGGGACTGTTGGTAACGCGCGATCGTATCGGCGCGGAGTAAAAGTGTGATGTAACTTGAATAGAAGGACTGAGGATTGCGCATGTCCGCTAGACCCATTTGGAGAGAACTTGCAGTGTCGGATTGCGTTGTGGAGATGCGACCTTTCTGGACAGCTATTTACAAAAGAAAAACACATTCGATATAATCGAGAATACCTGACCGGTTAGGGCTTGGAGGCGAGGCATGGAGGTGGGGATGGGGAGGAGTGGGGCGGGAAGTTTCTCCTTTCCGTTCATTCCTTGTCGCAAGCAGCTATCATTACAACCACGCTTCAACAGATATCATTATTCTCAGTGATACAAAAGCAGCTCTTTTCTTGTTTTATACCAGAACAGAGCTAATAGTCTTTACGAGTTGTAGAAGAATAACGATTCAAAGAACTTCCCTGAATAGGACACAGAGAATAGATATTCTGGATGTTGTATCATCTTCACTGACACTTTTAATTATTTTTATATCCTTACATAAGCGAGCGTGGAGGACATCCAATCTTTGAGAAAATGAATGTCAAACTAGAGTCACCTTAAAGCTTTATCATTGCTATATAGTCCCAGGGAACAAACGCTAATGAGGCCCAGCTTATTTCTTAATCGTACTCAACCGAAATTGGAGGAGAAAACTCTCTGACGGACAAGATCTAGCTTCCTTGTTAGTACATACATACCATCCTTTCTCATGCCAACTTTCATACACTTCTTCAGCCTGCAGTACTGACAGTGATTTCTGTGTTGGATATCCACCGGACAATTTTTGAACCCCCTGCACGTGTACGAAAGATTTCGTCGAATGCTTCGTTTGAAGAAACTCTTACAGCCTTCACAAGTAAAAACACCGTAATGCTTTCCAGAAGATTTATCACCGCAAACGACGCATTCGACAGACGGTTTCGGCGTTCTTGAGCCTTCGTCGTTTTCCGAACAGTCTTCTGGCGAATAAAACTCATTTTCAAGAAGAACGGGCGAGTCGCTGCCTGTGTTCCTAAATTGAGAGCAAGAGCTTGGCGGTTGTGGCAAGCCGGCCAAAGCATTTATGTTCACGTCAAGAGCTGATGTCGCCTCATCGGTAAAAGAGTTCATAATAAACTTGAACTAGGGGTTACAGAACCGCCAACTGGAGGGGTTGATCCCTCACTTAATACAAACATGAATGTCTATTGTTGGACCATAAAGGGGAATAGCAAGTTAAGAACAAAAGCAATTAGTCACCTTTGTGTAAATTATACAATATTTACGAGGCTACCCGTTATAGCTAACATAGTTAGTGTTCTGTTGGAAGGTTGAAAACAGCTTTAGCCGTCAGTGTAAAATTAAATTAATATAGACGAAAAGCTCTGCGAACGTATTGGAGAAAATACAATCTATTTTTCAGAAAATTTGCTTCTTCGTTTTGTTTAGCGTTAGAATACTTTTTCCGAATAAGTACTCGGCTAGAGAACTTCAAATTTGAAAATTTCGATAATCCGACGAGAAGAAAATGTGTTTCGTCTATCGCCAAAAGCTGAGATACAAAGAAGCTTGCGAAAACTGTACAAAATTTGTTCAGCACACCGTATTCACAGGAGTCAAGAAGGAAGGTCTCCACTTATTTCAGTAGTCAAGTGAAGTCAAATTTTTAGGACCAAAGGGCAACATTAACTAAAACCCACCGCTCATAACAAAGTTAATAGTATTCTTAACATATATTTATTAGTCAACTTCGCAAGACCTTATTGAGATTGACAAAATAACTTGTCAAATCTTTTATATTTTCTCGAATCCGAGATCAAAAAGACAATTTTTCTTGTTTACAAAGGAAAAAGGTATCGATGTTTCCCGGCTTTCCATGTAGGTGCACTTGATTCAAGGTAAAAAATACTGGTACCTAAATATTTAATGGCTTCTAAACAATTTGTAAGCGGCTGAGGGTAAATTGAGCAAATCTCTGTAGAACAAAAGCTCGTAAAAGAAGTTGACAGATATGTCAGTACTATTATCTATAGTAGAAATATTACAACAGCTGTGAAAAGATTTAGTGTAAGTTATGACATAGTTAGTTTCGCTCCCCCACCGGTTATGTTAGAATGGATTGGTTCTGTTTTGTTCCGTCTTTTTGATTGCACGCGCTGAACCGTGAAAATTTGTAATTTAGAAGAAACAAGCTGTGTTCATCTATTCATTTGGCGTTCGTCTAGAGTTACAGTTTTCCAAGGATACAAAGGACATGAAAAAATATATCGTCTAAATCTTTGTCTATGGGAAAGCTTGCACATGAAATACCTAAACCTCAAATAAAAAACTAAAATAAAGCCGACCATAAACATAGTGTAGTGAAGTCTAACCCGGCCTATTGAAGCATGTGACTGGATTATAAAAGGTTTCATTGTGGTTTTGTTTTCAATAAAGGTGTATGTCTTTCTGGTGGCATGCTTGTTTGATTTCTCCTTGTCTTAAGAATTGTTTTAGTCGGGTTATATAATGAATTTTGACTTCGTCGACTTTGAACA